AGATCGCAGCCCCGCAGGGATGGCGAGGTCTAATTTGGGTCCGCGCGTGGCGTCACTGTGCTGGGCCCCCCAGCAGGCCTCGAAAGTGGCGACAGTTTCACAGATCGCAGCCTCCAGGGGATGGCGAGGTCTCATTTGAATCTGCCCGTGGCCCTCACTGCGCTGGGCCCCCCAGCAGGCCTCGAAAGTGGCGACAGTTTCACAGAACGCAGCCCCCAAAAGATGGCGAGGTCTCGTTTGAATATGCCCGTGGCGTAACTGTGCTGGGCCCCCCAGCAGGCCTCGAAAGTGGCGACACTTTCACAGATCGCAGCCCCCCCAGAGATGGCGAGGTCTAATTTGAATCCGCGCGTGGCCCTCACTGTGCTGGGCCCCCCAGCAGGCCTCGATAATGGCGACAGTTTCACAGATCGCAGCCCCCCAGGGATGGCGAGGTCTCATTTGAATCTGCCCGTGGCGTCACTGTGCTGGGCCCCCCAGCAGGCCTCGAAAGTGGCGACAGTTTCACAAATCGTACCCCCCCAGGTATGGCGAGGTCTCATTTGAATCTGCCCGTGGCTCTCACTGTGCTGGGCCCCCCAGCAGGCCTCGAAAATGGCGGCAGTTGCACAGATCGCATCCCCCCAGGGATGGCGAGGTCTAATTTGAATCTGCGCGTCGCCCTCACTGTGCTGGGCCGGCCCCCCAGCAGGCCTCGAAAATGGCGACAGTTTCACACATCGCAGCCCCCCCAGGGATGGCGAGGTCTCGCCCCCCAGCAGGCCTCGATAATGGCGGCAGTTTCACAGATCGCAGCCCCCCAGGGATGGCGAGGTCTCATTTGAATCTGCGCGTCACCCTCACTGTGCTGGGCCCCCCAGCAGGCCTCGAAAATGGCGACAGTTGCACACATCGCAGACCCCCAAGGATGGCGAGGTCTAATTTGAATCTGCGCGTCGCCCTCACTGTGCTGGGCCCCCCAGCAGGCCTCGAAAATGGCGGCAGTTTCACAGATCGCAGTCCCCCAGGGATGGCGAGGTCTAATTTGAATCTGCGCGTCGCCCTCACTGTGCTGAGCCCCCCAGCAGGCCTCGAAAATGGCGACAGTTTCACAGATCGCAGCCCCCCCAGGGATGGCGAGGTCTAATTTGAATCTGCGCGTCGCCCTCACTGTGCTGAGCCCCCCAGCAGGCCTCGAAAATGGCGACAGTTTCACAGATCGCAGCCCCCCCAGGGATGGCGAGGTCTAATTTGAATCTGCGCGTCGCCCTCACTGTGCTGGGCCCCCCAGCAGGCCTCGAAAATGGCGACAGTTTCACAGATCGCAGCCCCCCAGGGATGGCGAGGTCTAATTTGAATCTGCGCGTCGCCCTCACTGTGCTGGGCCCCCCAGCAGGCCTCGAAAATGGCGACAGTTTCACAGATCGCAGCCCCCCGCAGGCAAGACAGGAAGAGGCAGGGAGGGAGGAGGAGGAGGAAGGAAGGAGTGGAGACCACACTGCTCTATTCAAAACGAATACTCAACCAAGGAGGGTTGGGAAAAAAAACGTCCCCAGACTATTTGTTGACTGCTTTTTTGAGATATCCCCCCCGTAGAGGGACAGGCCCGACTTGACCCTGGGGCCCAGAGCGCGAGGACGGGCAGCCCACGAGCGAGCCGCCGCTATGCCTGGAGGACGCTGCAGGCGCGGAGCTGCGCGCGGGGGCCGCTCGGCCTCGGCTGTGACCAACTCCCCGCTCGAGCCTCCGCCCCCGCCCTCGGCGAGGGCCTCCTCCCGCCGCGGGCCCCCTCCTCCGCTCGGGCGCCAAGACCCCCCCCCCCCCCCGGAGGGGCCCTGCTGAGCCGCCAGGGGCCCCGCCCCCGCTCCCCCCCCCCCTCGCCTCGCACCTCGGCCACCTCGCGCCCCCCCCTTGCCCCGCACGCGTCCGCCGCCCCCGCAGCTGCCCCCCCTCGCGTCTCGGTCGAGGGCTCGCTTCGCGGAGGCCCCGGGGGGGGCCAGCGCGGCCCCGGCTGGCCGTCCGAGGAGCGGTGGAAGCTGCGGCCACGCGAGGGGCGAGGCGAGCATGGAAGGGCCCTCCGCCCTCTCGCGCTGGCTCGGTGGTCCCGAGGGCCTCCGTGCCGCGCTCGGGGGGGGGGCTCCTCCCGCGAGCGCCATGGGGCGTGTGCTCTGCGCTTCGGGGGACCTCGCGGGGTGCAGCAGGTGTGATGTGAGGCGTTCTGGGCCAGGACGGCGCGAACCCAACTGTTCTTGGGAATCTGATCCCGAGGCTGCCCTTCATGGCAATCCCCGGAGGAGGTGGAGCGGGCCGACTTTCTGAGAGGCAGCCACCCCAAGGGAGGGAAGGCCCCCGCCCTCCCTGTTCCTGGCAGGCTCCAAGTCATGGACGGCGCTGTCCAGTGGCGAGGCCTGATATCCATGGCATGACGTGGTCTACGCAGCTCGTTGGCTTGTTTTGGCTTCGTTTCGTCCTGGGTCGCCCCGGCTTCGCCTCCGATCCTGGGCCTGCTTCCTCGGGGCCTCTCGTCGCGGCCGTGATGCTTCGGCTGGGCCTTGTGCGCCCTGGGGCCCCGAAACTTTCTGTGCTCGATCGCGCTCGTCTCACCTTTTCCTGCCGCTCTCGTCAGTCCCCCGTCCGACTCAGCGCGTCGCTCCATGGGCTCGCGCCCTCATGCTCCGCATCCTCCTCCCCCTTCTCCTCCCCCTCCTGCTCCTGCTCCTGCTCCTGCTCCTCCTCCTCCTCCTCCTCCTCCTCCTCCTCCTCCTCTTCCTCCTCCTGCTCTTCCTCCTGCGGCTCCTCCGCCTGCGGCTCCTCCTCCTCCTCCTTCTCCTCCTCCTCCTACTCCTCCTGTTCTTCCTCCTGCGGCTCCTCCTCCTGCTCCTCCTCCTCCTCCTCCTCCTCATCATCATCCGCCTCCTCCTGCTGCTGCTCCTCTTCCACCTGCTCCTCCTCCTCCTCGGGCTCCTCCTCCTCCTGCTCCTTCTCCGCCTGCTCCTCATCCTCCTCCTACGCCCGTCCGCTAGAGAACGATTGCGGGGGCAACCCTGCTGGGCGCTTGGGCGCCCCTGCCTCTGTTGGACTCGCCACAGCTGCTGCACTCCGGTTTCCGGGGGCCTCCTCGGAGGCGCCTCTGCAAAGGCCTCTGGAGGCCGTTTCTACTTAACCTCAGTCAGGATGTTCTTGCATGGCATTTCCACCCCCCTCCCGGCCTCTTCCAACAGCGCTGGACCGAACGGGCGTGCAAGTGAGTCCAGACTGACGTGAAGTCCAGACTCTCTGTCGGGCCTCACCACGCCCCCTGCCCCCCTCGCCCAAATCCATGCAAGTACACTTGCCAGAACCTGAGGAAAGACTGCATCCTGGAGGCCTCCAAAGGCCTCCGGAGATATCCGAAGGCGCCCGAGAGACCGCAGCTCTCCCGGAGGCCTCCAGAGCATTGTCGGAGGCCTCCAACCAAGAGCCAAGAGCGTCCAAACGTTTGGTCTCGATGCGGCGAGTTCACGCCGCGATGAAGTGGGCCTTGGCTTCTGATGTCTCGCGGATCGCTCAACCTTGAACGGCCGCGGCTTGCCAACAGCGCAGGTCGTTCGATGCCGAACGATGCGGCGCCACTGCATGGAAACATTCACGCCAGGGCTCCGTTCTGAGCCCGTTCGGCGTCCGAGCCCGCTCTTCGGCCGCCGAATGGGCTCGATCCAGAGTCCGTTCGGCGGCCGAGGCTTGGGCGCCGAGCGGGCACAGAAGGGAACGCTAGGGCAGCCTCGAGGGCCCCGCGCCCGGCTCGCCGCCGCGTCGACGAGGCGCGAACCGATCGTAGCCTCGATCCTCGGGGTGGCTCGCCACCTTGGGCGCGGCCCCGCTGGATTCCCGGCGGCTTGGGGCCTCGCCAGCAGTACCCATCATCATCATCATCATCATCATCATCATCATCATCATCATCATCATCATCATCATCATCATCATCATCATCATCAGCATCATCAGCATCATCATCAGCATCAGCATCATCATCATCATCAGCATCAGCATCAGCATCAGCATCAGCATCATCATCAGCATCAGCATCAGCATCAGCATCAGCATCAGCATCATCATCATCATCATCATCATCATCATCATCATCATCATCATCATCATCATCATCATCATCATCATCTATGTCGACTGTATATATATGTATACACACACTGTCGGTTACACCCCTTCTGCCAACCACCTTTTGACTTGCACAAGATCTTTCTCTCTCTCTCTCTCTCTCTCTTTCTCCCTCGTGAACGTGTTTTCGATCGGCGTTTCGACATTGAGCGGGAGAGGGGGTGGAGCGGGGGCGGTCTGGTCCCGGACCTCTGCTCAGCGCGACTGATTGCATCAGTGCGTCCTATGGGGGGGAGGCACCACCTGCTCGAAGCAGGCGCCAAAAATAGTCAAGATCCACTCCATGGGGGGGTCAAGGGGGGGTGCGATGGCCCGCGCCGATCGGCAAAACAATGAATAAGAAAAAGATCACCTCTCCCTCGCTCTCTCGCTATTGTTTCGTGGGTGCCCCCTTCCCATGTCAGCGACAGGGAGCCTCCGAAACGCCCAAAAACCTTACGAAACAACCGCGAGTTCCGACGACGCGACAAACAGGCAACATCGTGGGCCAGATGCTTGGACCATACCTTTCTGTGGCACTCCTTGAGACGCATGCATCGATGTGCAGGGGCCCCAAAGGCCCGCACCAGGGCGAAAACGCCTGCTTAACCTCTTCCGACGCCTGGGTCTCAGCAGGTGGCACACCGAGGGGGAAGGCAGGGAGCGAGACTGCTCGGAAGTCCTAGAAGATTCTCATCTGAGAAGCTTTCTGAGCCTCCTCCGAGGCCACAGAGGGCTTCCCGTGAGGCTGGAAGGCTCCAGAGAAGCCCCGCCGCCTTCTGAGAAGACCTGCCCTCTCTCACCTCCCCACTCGGCGTGCCGCCGGCTCAGGCAAGGACGACGTCGTCGTGGTCGTCGTCATCGTCTTGCGACGCTGAGCCGGCCGCGGTCACCACCGCGTCGGCAACCTTCGCAGGGTCGGTCTCCTCCGCGGCGTCGAGCAGCTCCCAGGCCCGCTGGGCCTCCAGCACCCAGCGCCACTTCGCCTCCTGCGGCCAGAAAGCCATGAACGGTCAGCATCGAGTGCAAATCTGATCGGATCGGAACAAACATCGAATCGAACGGCATCGGCACGGAGCAGGAATGGACAGAGATCGGCCGTGCCCGGATGCACCATGGCGCCAGGCAAGCATCGGGCCGCATCGGGTCGTCGGAGTATCGAAATCGACTCGAATCGGATCGAGCGGACCGAAACCTATATCGAAGTGGACCGGTCAGATCCGGATTTACCCTGGAAAGAGGCGAATCGAAGCGCCAAAGAGGGCTGCTGGGGAGAGGGGGGTAGGGCATCATGGCCCGCGATATGTGCGCGGACGAGGGGGATGAGGGAGCGTGTCGACAGAAGCGGGTGACGAAATCTGGGAGACTCCATGGCCCAGCCATGACACATCTCCCCTAATCCTCACCCCCCCTCCTCGACGCCACCGAGAGGAGGATGAAGAGACGATGACGCTGTGGCAACTCTCGGCCCTCGATGGAAACCAAAACGGAGAGTCTTCAACATGTGCGTCGCGACCGAAGCCGCTAGACGACCTCGACCTGGCAAAGAAGCCCGCTGCTCAGAGTACTAGTACAGGTAGGTCTCGGGCTTGAACGGGCCAGTGGCCTTCACACCGATGTGATCGGCCTGCTCCTTCGTGACGATAATGACCTCGGCACGAGGCGCCTGCAGGTGCAGGCTTGCAATCTTCGGGAGGAACTGCACGTTGTTCTTGTAGCCCTTCTCCTTAGCCGTGAGCAGGTCAATCTGCTCGAAAAAACTGGTTTGTAGACGAACAAGACATCACGAAGGACGGGCATCTGGTGGCGCAGCCGAAGTTGAGCAGCCGCCTTGCCACCAAGACGATGATGCCGTGCCCGTCTGGGAAGATTTAGCGGTCTCTTTGCGGTTTGATATTATCAACGCTGGCGCCTGCGGACTTTTTTTCCTACCTCCCCCAACCTACTTCGCAAACTCGTTTTGCGTCAAAACTGACTTGCCGATCGGGCCCGCTGACGCATCGCACCTCGCACGGGGCCGCTGCGCCACGCAGGGTGTTGCGTTGCGTTTTGTCCGCGTGCCCCGCCGTCCTCAGTTGCCCCTGGCCCGCCATGCCACCCCGCGCGCTTGCCTCGCTCAGCGCGACGCGCTGTTCTAGTGTGGAGCGGGCGCGTGGCGCTGTTTTTTCCCACGTAGGTAGCGCGCGGCGCTGCTGCTGTTACCGAAAAGTGGGTGCCCCTCATGCACACCCCTTTGTCTGCTTTGTCTTCGTCTCTTCCTTGCATACTCTTGCAAATTGTCTGGTCTGTGTGGGAGCTCGTGCGCACGGCGGGTCCTTCAACATGCTCGTTTGCAGTGAACGGTCCTGCGTATATTCGCCATATGGCTAGAAACGCTTGGGTCCGTCACCAGGTAATGCGTTTGGATGTCCAATGCTCATCGCGATAAGGCAAGCGTGGCTGCTGGCCAACGCAGAGTCGCCAGGGAAGGGCGCACTCCAGGTTTCGCGCTCAAGTTGGGGAAGGGGGGGGGATCTCACGCTGTTCGCTTGTCTCTGCCACCCCCCAGATTGTTCTTTAAACTTGTGTGTTCCTCGCTCACTCACACCTTCACCGGCGCACCCGCTCGCACTCGGACTTACTGTAGGAGGGCCGACCAGAAGAAACCTTCCACGAAAAAAACAACCCTGCGACCCCAAGACGCCTATTCTTTTTTGGTGCGGGAACATCGCCCGCTCCACAGCAAAACCAATGAAACCCAGAAACTGGGCACCCAGGAGGCAAGCCGGGTGTCTCCTGGCATGGGTCTGCAGTGTACTCACCAGCACATCTTCCCCCCTTAGGCCAACTCATCACATTCGGACTCGCCCATACTCAGACTCGCTAAAACTCAGACTCGCTCACACCTGGTACGACTCACACTCAGACTCATCAACACTCAGTCTCACCCGCGTTCCGACTCACGCATGGCCAGACTACCTCGCACCCGAGCTCAGTGATACTCTGACGCGAACGCATCTCACGCAAACTGTTGCTAACCCACACACAGACTCACTCGCACTTAGTCCCACTCACACTGAAACTCGCTCGCACTCAGACGCACCCATACCCAGACCCACTGTTACTCACACTGGCTACCACACCCAAGCTCAATCATCCCTGGACCCACTCACACTCCGACACGCCCACATTCAGATCACTCGCGCTCAGATTCACTCGCACTAAAGCTCACACACATTGCTATCACGGTGAAACTGGCGTTGCACTTGGGCACCCAAAATGCCAACAGGCGCTGCGGGTGGCAGGACAGGGAACGGGCATAGAAACGCCATGCGCGCTTGCCTGAGTTGCCGCGGGCAAAACGGCGAGACGAACTTCCCCTCGCTATCCTATGTGTGTTTCCCTCGTCTCTCCTGAGAGATGTCCTGCCCACAGGATGAGGAGGACGTCGTTGAAGTCGCCGCTGTCGTCGTCAGTGCCGCGCATTGCGTCTACGCGGACTCGCGCTGGCGCCCAGATGCTCATAGACAGAGCTCCCTGGCGAAACATAGCATGATACTGAGATGCACATATAGGTATCTCCGCGTCGAGAGATGTGCTGTGAGCAAGCTTTAGCGGCCGCTCCATCTGCTCGTGACAGGCAAAGAAGGTACACACCCCAAGAGGAAGACGATCGAAGACGACGAGGGCGGACATCGACAGCTTAAGGATATACATGCTGAGCGGCACGCGAACAATGAAGGGCGAAGAGTATGGGCATGATTGCTGTTGCTGTCTTCGACAAGTCGATCGCCCGAGCGGTCGCCGTGGCTCGCCGTCGCCATCGCAGTCGCCGTCCTCGTCGTCGTCGGCGGCGCGTCAGCCGGAGGTTCGGGCTACGTCGCCGTCCTCGTCGTCGCTCGCCCTCGCCCTCGCAAGCGCCAGTGTCGAAGAAAGGGTCTGTCGGTCGGGCGGGAGGGGCGCACCGCCTTGGGCGGGCGGACACGTCGTCGTCGCCGTGGTCCTCGTGCTCGACGTCGCCGCCGTCGTCGTCGTCGTCGTCCTCTCCCTCCTCCTCCTGGTTGCCGTCGTCGTGTTCTGGCGGCGGGGGAGGGGGGGGGTCGCACCCCGCCCCGCCGCCCCACCCCGACATTCACTGTCGAAGGGGGGGGGGAGGGTCCTGGAGACGGTTGAGGTGGGGGAAAAGGGTGTCACCGTGTATTTTTTACCCGTTCCGTTTTACTTTTTTTTGCCGGTTCCGACGCCGTATTTTTGCCGGTCCCGGCGCCGTTTTTTGACCGGTTCCGGCTCCAATTCCAATCCTGGAGCATTTTTTTTGCCGTTTCCGGTCGCCGTTTTTTTGCTGCTTCCATTTTCAAAAGACATTCTGGAAACGGTGAAAAATCGGCCCTGCCGTTTCCGGGGCCGCCCCATGAAGGGTGCTCAGAAGACGCCCAGGGGGGCCCGAGTACATCCAGATCCACGGCCTACCGGAGTCCAAGAAAGCTGCGCCCTGGGCGGAGCAATCTGTTGCCCCCAGGAAGGCAATCCCAATCGCGCGAGTCCCGGACAGACGAGCACAACGAGGCGCGCGCACCGCGAGTCGTAGAAACGCGATGGCAAGGCATACAAACGCGATGTGCTGAGCAGTGGAACTTGCCAGCAAATCTGGGAGATCGTCGACATCCACGTGGAAGTTGACGATGACGCCGTCGACGACGTCGTTTGTTGACGACGTCGTTCGTCATTGGCGACAAGGATACCGACATCGACCGCAACATCACCGTCGTCGTCGTCCTTGACGTCGTCGCCGTCGGAGGGGATGGAGGGAGGAGGGAGGAGGACGGAGGAGGCGGCCGAGGTGGAGGCGCAGGCAGGACGATGAGGCCGGGGGAACACGGAGGAGGCAGGAGGTCGTCGTCGCCGCCACCGTCGAGGAAGAGGAGAGGGAAGAGGAAGACGAGGAGGAGGAGGAGGAGGAGGAGGAGGAGGAGGAGGAGGAGGAGGAGGGGAGAGGGAGGGGGGAGGAGCAGCAAGCCGACGCAGGAGGAGGAGGAGGAGGAGGAGGAGGAGGAGGAGGAGGAGGAGGAGGCCGCCGAGGGCCACGGAGGGGTCGCCGATGGGACACCCGAGGGAGCGTGGCGCGCGGAGGGGGTCCTTCTTCGAGGCCAGGCGCAGCAGGTCCTTGAACGGGCTCTGTCGCCCCACCTCGGCGTTGGTCGTCGCCTCGGCTCGCGCGCGCGGGGCGGCGGGCGGCGAGGGCTGGGCGTCGTCGGAGAGCAGCATCGGAGGACGTCGTCGCGGGAGGCGGGCAGGGGGGCAGGGAGGAGGGGGGGGGATAAGGAGGAGAGCTCCAACAGGAGGCCACATGCGAACCCTACCCCACCTCCCCACGATTTCTAAGGTGGAAGGTGGGTTTCGCTTCCCTCGGGAGGTCCCGAACAAAGTGAACCCCGCCTCCCCCCTTCGAAATCGTGGGGAGGTGGGGTAGGGTTCGCACGTGGCCTCCTATCCAAGCAAAACACCACCACCACCAGCCCTGGCCAGGCCCATCCTGGGCGCCCTTGGGCTGGTGCGCAGGCCCTCCCAGCCTGCGCAGGCCTGGAGGTCCGTGCACCAATCCAGGGCCCAGGATGGACCTGGCCAGGGCTGGTGGCGGATGTTTTTAGCGTCCCTCGGACGGTGGCCTGGCAGGCCAAAGGAGCAGAGGAAAAGAGAGAGGAGGGGCGGACGCGCTCAGCGCAAGCCGCTCAACCCAGCCAGGGCCCACAGCAGGGGAGCACACTGGGCCGCAGCGTGGGGCCTCTCTCCGCGCGGGCGCGGGCCGCCGGGGCGCTGCGGACGGGAGGCCGTGGAGCAGGCAGGCGCACGCCAGCGGAAGCCCCCGCGAGGTGTGACCCGCGGGTGTGCCGACGGTGCGCCCACCCATTCCAAGTCCCCTCCTCTTAAGCCATCACTGGAATTCCTCTCCACTGCGGCGCCAACTCGCATTGCAATTCAGGCGGGAGCCCGCTTCCGTGGCAATTCAGGCCGGGCCTCGTTTCAAGACGAGCGCCCACTTGCTTTGCAATTCAGGCGAAAGCCCCGTTTTGAAGGCCCAGCGGTCATGCTCCTAGCTGAAATGGCGGCGACGAGGTGGGATCACGAAGCCCAAGGATTTGTCCAACGAGACCCCGCTTTGAAGAGCCGCCCTGAATCCGTGCAAACCTTATACCAGGCAAAATGACTGGCCCAAAACAAATACAAACAAATCTCGAAGAGAAAGCCCGATGTGAAAAGGATACGCAATCGATCCGTGCAGCAATTGCGAAATGTGAAATGAATGGTCACATGCTGTAGATAAACATCACGTTCAAAATATAGCTTTGGGGAAACAAAACATAACACGCCCTCCATTCGTGCCAGCGTGCCATAGTGGCGCTAAGGCAAGAGCCACCATTCTGGAAATAGTTCAAACGAGAAAGCGGCGCTGAAGCGAGAACCACATTTTAAAAATGCGCCGCCGCGCTAGCGCGCAAAGGCTGCTGCGCACAGCGGCCTACTAGTTTGGCGCGACCGACGCAGCCGCGGTAGCGCTGACCGCTGGGGACTTCCCAACGCGTTCCGCAGGCCGCGCTGACGCGCCCGCACTTCAATACGAGTCGGTGACTCGGGCGGGCGGCGTATCATAGCGCTGTCGAGAACGGCAGACACGATGATGAAAGTAGCGATGGTAGGAGTGATGATGACGATGATGCGACAGAGCCAATGACGGCGCCGACGCTGGTCACGCCAATGACGATGATCGTGTCGACGTGACGGTGATGAAACTTGTGGGGAAATTTGACATGCACGCGCCCAGCTGATGGGCGCGAATGGCCCGCATGGTAGCATTTGATCGGGACCGTGTCCACCCAGCCAGCGCGCGAGGTCGTTCGATTGAATCCGAAATGCGCTCGCGACGGGCACGCTTGGTCGCATGTGATGAACAAGATAACTCAAAGAACAATGCTTCGCCCCCAAAAAAATATCAAAATCCCCGCGCAGACTTACTGAAAAACAAATTGCAAAAGCAATGGGTTTGTCGTTTTCGAGAAACTCAGTCTTGAAAGTATTATGGAACCAGCGGTGTTTGCACAACTCCGGCAGGCACGCGCGACGATGCGCGCGTTTGGACTTTGTTACGTTTGCAAGGGGCTTGGAGAACTGCTGATTTGGGTAATCGGGCGCGCGCGCACAATATTACTTGACATGGATCAGGTGTGTTTGGACGGGGGCATACCGGGAGCTCCTGGGATGGTTTAAATTTATGTTCAACATGAACGACGGGGCGGAATCGCATGTGCATTACCCCAGGGGGAGACGATACAACCGGAGGTGGCTAGAGGGGTCGTAGATCATTAATATTTCAGAACGAGAACCATGTAATGCAATCTATGTGTTGCAGTCGACGTGGTGCAGCACACATGGCGCAATTAATTTTGAAGAACTTGGATCGTCAAAACCACAACTTGCGCAATCCTCGCACCCACCCACCTGCACCTTGGTTTGCCAACCTCCATGGGGCGGCGATTGCGATGACTGCTTGGCGCTGGCTGGCGCATCGCTGTGGCGGCGCTGGCTCTCGCAAACTCGCGCGAAAGCAGACCGCTGCTGACTTTCCAGCGCGTGTGTGTCGCAAGCCGGGCCGCCTTGACACGCGGGCACTTCCGTGACGTCCGTGCGAGTCGGTGACTCGGGCGGGCGCGGTATCATGGCGAGGTCGGCAGCAGCACACACGTTGAGATAATCGCAAAAATGGTGGTGACGACCATGACGGTGCCAATGCTGACCCCAGTGACGATGGTGGTGTCCACCCGTCGGTGAGGAAGGTCTTGGGAAGAGTTCGACATGCGCACGCGGCCCATGGACGCGAGTGGCCCGCATGGTAGCCTTTGACAGGAACCGCGCCCCCCCAACCAGCTCGCAAGGCTGTTGGAATGATTCCGAAATGCGCGCGAGAGGCCCTTTTGGTTGAATGTGATGAGAGATGTCGGAGCAAACACGTATGGTGTTCGTGAAAAATCGCAAGAGCGCGCGAACCTCATTGAAAAACCATGTTGCAGTACCAGCATCGTTGTATATGGATTCTGGGGTTCCGACATGAAACCCGTGCGAAAACCAGAAGCAGATGTTAAATGTGTTCGACATGCGCGCGAGACGCCGCGCGCTGATCGACTTTGCCCTATGTGTTGCAAAAAGAAAGTGTTTGTTGAAACGGGGCTGTTGGACATTAGTGGTTTGTGATAAACGACTGCGCGCACATAATAGTTTAAACAAGGATGAGGCGGGGGGGCGGTAGCGGATCCCACCATGACAGTACGAGTTCACATTATACATGCAACGAACGATGAAAACATCGTACGTACATGGAGGCGGGGGGGGGCACTTGTTACGGAAATTTTCACGATATGGTGCAATGAATTGTTGCTCGAATTAAGATATCACCCCACTGCTCGCGCAATCATCCCACCCGCCCACGCGCAAAGTGGTTTGCAAAACACATGCGGCAGCGATTGCGATGATTGCTTGGCGCTGGCTGGCGCATCGCTGCGGCAGCGCTAGCGCGCGCTGGCTAGCGCGCAGCGGTCTGGCGCGACCGACGCGGCCGCGGAGGCGCTACCGCTGGGGAATTCCCGGCGCGTCTCGCAAGCCGCGCTGGCGCGCGGGCTTCACTGCGAGTCGGTGACTTGGGTGGGCGCGTCATCATGGCGACGTCGAAAACGGCAGAGAAGATGATGATAGCAACGATGCTGGTAGCGATGATGACGATGACAACAGCAAAGCCAATGACGGCGCCGATGTTGATCACGACGATGAAGGTTAAAGGATTTCGACATGCGCGCGCGGCCGACGTGCGCGAGTTGCCCGCATGGTAGCCTTTGACAAGGATCGTGCCCCCCAGCAAGCGCACAAGGCCGTTCGACTGGTTCCGACATGCGCGCGTGAGGGGCCCGCTTATATGTTGAACACCTATGGTGGTCGTGAAATGTCGCAAGGGCGCGCGCAGATTCTTCGAAGGTCAAATTGAAGAACCATCGGTTGCTGTAAATGTTCTCCGGGAACTCGACCTTGAAAAACTTACGAAACCTGCGGATTTCGAACACATTCTGCATTCGCGCGCGCCGACCCGCACGTGTCGACTTTGTTATTTTGTTTTGCTGCAAGGGATTAGTCTTAATGTATGACTGTTGCTACGCAAGAGATCGCGCATAATAACATTGGACAGGCATGAGGGGACGATAAGGGGTCCATCTGGCATGATCTGAGTCCGTGCTCAAAACGAACGATGCGCCGAACCCACATGCAAATTGTACTATCCCAGGGGGGAAGAAACCCGGGAGTGGGGTGGTAGATCCTAACTTCTTTCAGACGAGGTGGGCGGCGACAGGGCGGCGCCTTTGGCCACATAGCCGCCAGACGGGCCATCAAACCCAGACGACGGACGGCGACGAGGCGGCGATGGGACGGCGAAGGCGGCCACATAGCCACCAGACCGGCCGTCGGGCCCATTTCCTGAGGACATAAATAAGGACTCCTGACCAGACTGCCGCGATAGGCCCAAGATGGCCCATGAAGGGCCCAACATGGCCATTCGACGGCCCAACGGGTTCCCCTGGAAGGAGAAAATCATGAGTTGTCCTCAGGTCTCGGTCTCCAGAGCGCGCGCGACGGCCGAAGGGGCCCCCGAGGTCGCTCCAAGATGGCCCGAAATGGGCCCAAAGACGAGCCCAACGACGAGCCCAGGACGGCCCAAGAGGGGCCCCAAGACGCTCCAAGCGGGTCCCTGGAGGGGCTCCAGACGGCCCAAGAGGGCCCCCAAACAGCCCAACTGGGCCCCCAGACTGCCCCAGAACAGCCCCAAGAGGCCCCAAAACCGCCAGGAAGGACCAAGACGGCCCCAGAGGGCCCCGAGACGGCCCAGGAGGCCCCCAAAACGGCTTGAGAGCGGCCTCGAGAGACACCGAAGAGGCCAACTCGGGAACCTTGATTAGTACGGTGGCGGTATCTCAATATATATATATATATATATACACATACATATACATATACATACATATATCTATATATATATATATATGTATATGTGTGTGTGCATACATACGCAAGTGTTCTTACCCATGCGCCCGCCACAAAGCCTGTGCATCGTGTACATATATATATATATAAATATATGTATACATACAAGATATGCAGATCAAGGCCTA